TTGGTGGCTGACTAAATACTTTTTTGCCTCATCTGTATATGCATCATTATAACAATATACAGTGCACACATTTGGAGGTAATTTAGCGCCAACAAACCATCCTTCAAGCCACCTATGCCTCCTGAAATAACTGACAGCACAGACATGAGCATGCTGCCGTCTTCACTGTACCTATTACTGAAAATAACAGAGTTAAACTTTGCCCTTTGCTTTATTAATGCTGCCTGTTTCCTTACACATGTCTCGCTGTGCTGTGTGACCGCTTCTTGGCTGCACTCATTAGCTGTCAATACCGTCTCTGAGTCACTGGTACATTTTCCAAATACTTCCCCTTTATTGTCTCCTCATTTGGAGGTTCCATACCGGCAATGAAGGTCGCTGCACAACTTACTACCTCAGTCTGCATTTAGAAACATGGCATTTGACTTCTGCGCTCCTCAGCAATCCCCAAGGGTGGCAAAAAACTGAAATTAATTTACCTTCATGAATTCAAAATGGAGGGGCTCATAATGGCCCTGAAGTAATCAATATGTAACCCTGCTTCTCATTTTTCATTTTCCAGACAATACTTCATGTATTATAGTTTGTCTTTTCTACTGACACCTGTTGATTGAAGGATTTCAATGTGATATTTCTGAAAAACATCAGTAAAAATACCCATAGTGTCATGGGGTTGTGATTTATTAATCTGATGACAGTCAAGACTGTCACCAATTAAATGGGGGCACAGTGTGTTGCCATGTTAGATTAGGCCCTTCCACTAGACCGTAGTGCCTGTGCAGATGAGCTTAGTTTAGTTTATTATAGGACCCCCAGAAGCTTTGCCCTCTTCCTGTTGTGCAGGAAGACTGATGCATCGGCTGAGCACACTGAGCCCTCAGGGTTGTGTGTATTTCTGTGTGTATTTCTGTTGTTGTAAGTCTGCGTGGTGAGAATACGGCAGCATTCGGTCCCCCAAATAACCCCTGGGTATGACACTGAACAGTAAGAGAGCAGCAGTTAGACCATAATTAGAGTGGAGTTCTGCCTGCTGAGATAATTATGTCTGTCTTCATTAGAGCAATCTCAGAGAGCACCACAACTGGAGCCAAATAAAGAGCTGATCCATTATACCACTTGTACATCACGCAATCTCCCTGTGGCGCAGCCTTTTGACTTTTAAACCCAATAGGTTTCAGAAATAATAAAAATGTGCCACAGGTGCTGCAGAGCAACAAGCTCGCGCGCGCAGACTAATATCATTCTTTTATTTTTAGGCTTGTCGAGCCACACGGGGAGGACATAAAGGATTGAGCTTGTGGTTTGTGCTTTGATTTTACTCCTCCTCTTTGGATCAGACTTACATTTCTCTATCTAAAAACTATTGGATGGATTGCCATGATGTTGCATGACCCTCAGAGGATGAATTCAAGTGTTATTGATCCCCTGACTAGTCTTCTAATGCCTCCAGCAGGTCACACTTGAATGATCTTTTTCGGCTGGCACAACATTCGAGATTGATATTCATGGTTCCCAGAGGATGAATCCTAATGACTTTAGTGATCCCTTGACTTTCCCCTTGAGCGTCCATGACGTTGATAATTTATGTTTTAAGTAGAAACTCTACAGCTATTCGTTGGATAGCCACAATTGGTAAGGACATTCATGTTCCACTCAATGATACATTCTAACAACTTTGGTCATCCCTTGACCTTTTTTCTAGAGCCATTATAAGGTCAAAATGTCTCTGTCTATCTGTACTTTATGGAGGGCTGCAGCAAGTTACAATCACATCTTGAAAAAGTATTTTGCTGATCAGTCAAGTGTTCTTTTCTCGTTCTACTGCATTCAGGTTAAATGTGTTTCTAGGTGGGTGGAGAGCCGAGTGCTGCAGGGTGCTCTTCATGAGGAGCTTCATGAAGGAGGACAAACTCTGTCACCTTTATTTTACAATGTCAACTCATCCTTCAGTTTATGAAAAAAAACCTATACAGAGATATAGCACTTTAGTGGCTTCGAGAATCGGATTGCAACATGGCACGAAGTAGCTGTTTTTTAATTTGCCTTTGAAATGGAAAGCATATTATATAATAATCTTCTCTTAATGCTATTCCATTTCAAGGTTAGACAAACAAATCAGTAGCCTGCAGCATGATGTTAGCTGTGTGCATTTACTTCATGATTTAAATCTGTTTTGTTTTTTTAAAGGATTTTGTCAAAGAGTGGAAATCCCTTGATATGCAATTGAGGCGAATGCCACCGTAAATGCCAACGTTACTTGCAAATGCTCCGCTCTGGTTTGTTTCCTCCATGACAGAAGATGTTTTTTCCATTGCAGGGATATTGATTTCAGTATCCTTCAAACTCAGCAGCCCACCTCACTGCATGTGCAGCTTAGATAAGTAATTGCTTTTCCAGCTGGTTAGATAGCAGGATAGATGCAAATACACAGCAAACAACAGAAGAAACCTATGAGCATCGTTTTCGTTATATTTGCAGTTTTTCTTCAACATGGAATGGTTTCACTGGCTTGACAAACACAATTACACAACAGTGTTCTGTTTTTGCAAAAAATACTAATTCAGAAGATGATGGTCAACAATATCCCTAAATGTTATGACAACTGTAACCAAAATTGCTGTGAAAATTGCTTTTTGCTATTTTTAAAACAATCCTTTTGAGACATTGTGACATTAATCCATTTGTTCTGCACACAAAATAGAAATGTCTATTTTTTTAACTCTGTGCCTTTTGCTGATGTAATTGTATTTTAGAGAATTCAGCGGTGCGCTTGCGATTTTCCTTTTGACATGACAAAGTAGATTTTTCCCCAGGATATAAAAGCAGGTACAAAGACTACACTAAAAGCATTGTATAAGTACAGCTCTGTCATTGTTTGAGCAGAGAAGCTGTACTCTACACAGGCAGATGTTTTCTTCGCACACAGGTTTCACATCTCTCTCTGTGAGCTGGCAGCAGCCCCAGGTAAAGCATGATATTTGAGGATGGAAAACGAAGAATGCACAAACTGGCTAAACCGAGGATTCTGAGGAAACAAGAAAAAAAAATCAATGAATTGTTTCTATTCATGTGTCCTTGTGGGTGTGTTAGTGCTTCTTTCTTCTTTGCTCTTTACTATAGAAAAGTCGGGAAAAAATAGAAAAAAGTTGAAACAGACGTTGAATAATAAAGTCCCTGGTGAAATTAAAACGCCACACAAATTGCAATTGATTGAATCGCCTCAGGCATTAACACATGTGTATTGACGAAGTTGTGCAACGGATAGCACAGGGAGAATTAGGGTTAGGTATACACAGTAGAAAAACATTAAAAAAGAAGGGGGCTGTATGTAATGGAAATAATTATCATCTTTGCATGCTTAAAATACATGCTCTGTTTCTATGTGCATATATTATATATATATAGAGGTGACATTTTAGATTATAGCCAGCAAATTATAGTTTAACTATTAGGATTGAAGAAAACTTGATAAAATGCCCCTCCAGAGGAGAAAATGTGATAAAGAGCCCTAGGGTGCCATGAGGACAATATAATATGAGTCATTGACCTAGGGTGTCCTTCCAGTATAGAAAACAAGACGATATTGTGCAATATAGGCTGCACTATTCATGCCAACAGATATTCTGGTGCCCAACTGGTTGCCTTTTAATTGTTTTTGCACCTGCTCCTCAGACAGCCCGGGTCCACATGCTACACTTAATAGGTTGGGGTACATCGTGCTTAGAAAGACAGGTGTAGCATGAATGAGCTCAGCATCAGTATGGTTTGAAGTGATTATAAATTACTGGCGGTGTAGAGAAAAACCTATGTGAGTTTTAATTCCTGTTAACAGATGATAAAGATTTAAAGAGTCTTTAAAAACTTTATTTGACAACCCATAATATAATGAAAAATGTAGCAGTCTATTAATCAATTCATCAAATGACAAGTACTCTTTTTGTAATTTATGAGTTATTTTAGAGTGCGTCTGAATAATTTCAGCTGAGGTAATGACTTATTTAAGTTTATATAAGCTTATACATATATGGCATATGTTTATATGAGCATTATTTATTAATTCTGTTGAAAACAAAACCTAAGAGAAAAACACTCTCCTGGACATAATATAATTATCTAGCTGCATAATACCCTAACAAAAATAATGTAACCCTTTAATATATAAACGCACTTACATGTATGCTTACAACCTGTGCTCTGTTTGAATGAGCATTACTTTATAGTTTTTCTGATAAGATAAGGCTTTAGAATTTAACCAGATATAAGGATTAAAATGATCTTAAAACACATTCTGATTAAATCTGCAATAGTTTTTAGTTCTGCTGAAAACTGTTGCAGGCTATCCATAATTTCTGAAAAATGACAAGTCAATTTTTCTTAAATTATGAGCTATTTTATTACATGCGTGAGTAATTCCAGCGAAGGTATGACTCAGGGATACTGTGAGTTGATACTGTATATTTGTATAAAAGCATTAGTCATTATTATGTTCAAAAGTCAAAAACAATTAAGGAGTCAAATACTCTTACAAACTTTAATCATAGTTTGGAGAAAAGTGTAGTAGGCTATCAATCAATTTAACAATGACAGGTCAATTATTTGGGAATTTATTAGTCATTTTATGGAGCATGCTGGAGAAATTCCAGCTGAGTTAATGACTCTTGTCCTTAAAATAAAGTGCACTATTATAGTGAGAGAAAGCTCCTTTATTATACAGCCAACCCAAAGTCGTGTTTAGCCCCTTAACATTAAAAGTACACCATAGTTAATTTTCTATTTTTAGGCTACCCCCTATGTATTGTGGGTTGTAATCTAAAAGGGTCACCGATATGGGTAAATGTTCTTCCAGTTTGCAACGTGGATGAAACATTTGTGAATGAAAAGTCATGTTGGCAGACAGTGACTGGTTGTGATGACGCACAGGGAGTGATGCTGCGGGGGGGGGGGATGAGGATGGTTGGGTGGTGGTTATGATGATGATAGGGGGATTCTGGGGGAGAGTGGTTCGAGGAGAAAGCAGTGAGTCATTTGGTATCCATCACCATCACCGTCTGGAGAGAGTTGGAGCACCTGAAGGTCGGGCGTTTATCCCGGCAGATGTGAGGGCTCTCCACGATGAGCGCACTTGGCTTTCCCTTTCTCAGCCTCCGAGCGCGACTCAGCAATCACAATCGCGCCTCAGTCGAGCCATCTGGGTGAGCATCAAACTCAAAGTTGAGGTGAGTCCCGTACAATTAAAATGTGAGCATTCAATTGAAGCATTTATTCTGAAAAGTTGATTTTTCTCTCTGGATGCGAATTTAATTGTCATGTTTGTTCATGTGCTGGCAATGCAGATGTTGGATAAATGTCATTGTTTTTGATGAAATGACCGCACTTTTGTTAAAAAAGAACGCTAATTTCTCAGAATCTAAACAGAAATTGTGCAAAAGTAAAGAACCATAATATGTATTTGCAGCATCTAATATTTGACAACATTTAGTTTGAGGCTATAATTTGAAAAGTAGCGATTTATCGCGAACAGCTCGGGAGATAATACGCGCACTAATCTAAAAATAGTTGTATTATGTGACGCTACTTCGTTTTTTTATTTCAAATCTGCTTCAATATATTTCGCAAATTTAAAAATAATATGATGATCCTTTCCATGTCGTATCAGTGTAGTTTTAAAAGTGTATATAAGATAAATGCACTATATGTCTCCTGTAGACCATCATCATAAATCCCAGTCTCTGACATTTTATTAAGCTGGATGTCACTTTCTGTCAGGTAGCACCATCACCTATATTCCCGCAGTGGCTTCATTTTATAGAGCTGGGAATTACCCTGCACATGAGTGAAGAGGCTGCCTTTGACAACATCTGAGCCACAGTGAGTATTTACTGCTGGCCAATTAAAATAGCTGCAGACAAAGAGAAGCTGCATGTCACACTGTGCTCAACATTGTCGTGGATTCCCATCCAACCCTCAACAGCACATGTGTGTGTCACTCTGAATATTATTAAAGATCAATCATGGAAATGAGCAGTGTGCATTCCTGTACTTTATAATCCGCAGTGAAAGCAACAGTTCTACTATCAGGAGCTGTAATACTAGATTTGATTTAATCCAAAATTAATGGTTTTATTTAAGAAATTAAGTCTTGTGATATGAGCTACATTAAATCATATTTGTTTGTTGGAGAGGACAGTCCTTCTATAGGACTCACTACCTGTGGCACGGTTTATAACTCAATTAGCAGGTTAATTCAATTAAACAGTAACAAGCACAACCTCCCACTTACACTTGATGAAAGATGTTATACAACACCTCAGCTGGAATCACTTCAATTGAGATGGCAATAATCAATATTTCAACACTTTAAATATATTTTTCCTTTTTTCTTGTGTTTATTGTTGTGACATTTTTATGCTGCTGTCTCTGCCAGGTCTCTCTTGTGAAATAGATTAGTTATCCACGGGTTATACTTGTTTAATATGGATTGAAATATGTATAAGATATAATATGAGCTTGCTTTACAGTTATTATTTTATAGGTTATCACTGTGTGTGTGTGTGTGTGTGTGTGTGTGCGAATTGTCAATGTTTTTTATATTCAACACAATTTGTATTTCAGTGCTTATTTGTTATGAAAATAACAATTACTTACTGGAGAAAACACGCACGTTCACACACACACGCGCGCACGCACACACACACACACACACACACACACACACACACACACACACACACACACCACACACACACACACACACACACACACACACACACACACACACACACACACACACACACACACACACACACACACACACACACACACACACACACACACACACACACACACCACACACACACACACACACACACACACACACACACACACACACACACACACACACACACACACACACACACACACACACACACACACACACACACACACACACACACACACACACACAAACGGTTTATTGGAAATCTTCCAAATATGTAACTGGGTCATTCGGTTAGTTTGAACAAATTATATTTTCTCTGATAAAAATACAGAAAGATAAACATGATGATAAACAACACTTCAATTTTCACTCTATAATGTATTTTGTACTGCATCACAGAGCAGCGACTCATATCTACATCTTATTCATGTCACTGATGTGAACATCTGCCTCCTAAACTCCTTTAGTATTGAGAGAATAAACAGAGAAGAGCAATATGTGGGCTTAGTCAATATTACTGAACTTGTCATAAAGTAAATCTATCAAGCTTAATATATCCAGTTAGTAGGTTTAATAAAACAGTAACAAACAATTTAAATGCAGCTGGGACACTTAATAATTTAAGCCGAGGTAACTTAATATTTCCCCCCCACACAAAATAAAGATGATGTGATGAGCTCCTTCAGTTCTCCTGCAGATAAACAAGAAAGTCTTACTTTTATAATCACATTAGAGACAGCAGCCGTCCACCTCCTTCCTCTCCTTGTGTGGGTGGGAGAAGCTTTCAGGTGCTGCATTATAATGGCGGCTGAATGCAGTGCTTCGCCGCACCCTATGGCACATATGCTAAACTGAGTCATATTAAACATGTTTAACAGGTGTAGACCCTGTGAGGAGCGGAGATTTGTAGGGCACAGAGAAAAAGGTCAATGAAGGAGGGGAGGGGGGTTAAGACTTGAGGGGACTGCTTAATTCCTTCCCCCTCACTGTGTCTTTGCCCAGTCTTTGTGTCACGTTTGACCCTATTGAAAAATGATGAACCGCTGACAGACAGATACATAGATAGGAAATATTCTCTGTAGAAAAGAGGGCAACTCAGATGAACTTTTAATTACGTCTCAAATAAAGCAGCTTAACAAAATCCTCAAATCGTCAACATGGTCATTTTACAAACCCCATATAATCTAGCTAGTACGTTTAGAGAAGAAACATCGACATAACAAATGTCCCTAATCTGCTCAAACAGGATTAATTTCACATGGAACTAAATCATTTGTTCAGAAGTCAAAGGACAGAACATTCTTAATGAAATAAATGTATCCAAGCCAGAGGAGGATTTTCAGTCCAAAAGCAACCCTGCACTAAGAGAAACTGGATTTTGTGTAAATAAATACAATGGAATAATAGGAATGGAAATATATATATTTTTCAAATAAAGGTTTTTCTTTAAAGGAAAATATATTTCCAGGGCACACTCCCAAATGTTAAGGTATACATTGGCTACATTTCTGGGAATACATTTTAAGACATTTCTTTTGAGAGTTAGATGAGAACACTATCCTTAATCCATGCCATAACTATCAAGCCAAAACTAGCAGACAATTAGTTTAGTTTAGCATAAAGCCTGGCTTTGTTCAAACATAACACAAATGTACCACCAGCTCTTAAGGTCTGTTTAACATGCACCCATTGACTATGGAGTTAAGAGCCAGCAGACAATTAGCTTAGCTTAGCTTCATAAAAAGACTGATAGCAGGGGCAAACTGCTAGCATGGAGAAAACAAATCTTCCTTTACCAGCTAGCTTTAAAATATTATTCACACGTAGTAGCCTTATGTTGTTGCTAAATATTGAACTAAAAAAAACTAAATGTAAAGGTGGCAATTGGTAGGGGAGTTTGTGTTGGAGCTATTTGTTGACTTCCTGGAGGATTAGCTTTACTCAAGGCCATGCTAGCTGTTTCCCCCTGCTGTCAGTCTATATGCAAAATTATTTGCACGCTGGCTGTAGTTTTATATTTAGTGTTTGGTTGGAGGATTAAAGAGGTCAATATGTGATATTGATTAGTTGACAGGAGGGATTTAGAGCAATCCTGAAGGTCAGCTGAAGATCATATTATTGGTACAAAATGGCAATAAGATACACACCAAGTGTTTGGACGGAGGCTGTTGCATGGTTGACTCTTCTGCAATACTGACTCAGCTCAATGCCATTTAGAATATAATTGTTTGGTGTTCCCAACATAATCCGGGAGAAAAAGGCAACTGATTAGTCCTGATAACCTTTTTGCTCAAATTCACATTGTATTTAGTCGATAAAATGAGGCCATGGGTGGCCACATTGAACTGACAGTAACTGTGGCTCAGACATTGTCCCGTGAACCACAGTCTTTATAGATCTTAGGCATCGTGACATGGAAGAGAACAGCACAAAAGAAACAAAAGCCAAGGATGACTGCTTTGAGTTCACCTGTATTTGATGGATGTGTCAATTCTCTCAGATCCTTGTCTTTCTTTTCAAAGGCACTGCATGGCGTTGTGTTGAAAGTGAATCTGCTCCTGGGTCCAACAGGAAGAGCCTGGATGTTGACTACTGCTCACCTACCATCTTATCCAAAGAAAGTGGTGTCTCGCTCCCATTTTTAAGACTTTAAGGGACTGGATTTTTGTTTCCAAACTGCAATTATTTCTTCATAGAGCATTCAAAGGTTTTTTTTCCAACTGCGTTTTTGTACCAGCTGCATACTGTCATCACAGTTTTAAATCCCCACCTTTTCATGATGGATTACTTGATATCAGCCCGGTAGGTTCTTATTCTGCATATATAATACTTCTGTCTGTGTTTCTCTATGCATCCTGTAGTTTTGTTTTTCATGATGCATTGCCAAAGTAATGGCTCATTTGCCAGAGGCACCATCATTCAAATGATGTTGTGACAAGACAGACTTAATGTGATCATTACTCTAATGGCTTTTATAAGAATGCCCGCTTTTTCTGTAGAGAAATAAAATAGGTGACTGTCTATCCCACTTTTGCTGCGCAGGGCAGTGCCGAGCATCAGTTTAGCATCGGAACAGATGGTCCCTGTGCTGGACAATATGACCCCAGCGCCTCTGACACAGAACTGCTCAAACTGCAGCCAGATTTTATTCCCAGAGCTTAACGTGGTCAAGGCTGTGGTTTTGGGCCTGGTGCTTGGCATTTTAATTTTGTTTGGAATAGTTGGAAACATCCTGGTAATCCTCTCTGTGGTCTGCCATCGACACCTGCGGACAGTCACACATTATTTTATAGTTAATCTGGCCGTGGCAGATTTGCTGCTGAGCACCACTGTACTACCCTTCTCTGCCATCCATGAGATTGTGGATCGTTGGGTTTTTGGACGGGCTTTTTGCAATGTTTGGGCAGCTGTGGATGTGCTCTGCTGCACCGCCTCCATCATGAGCCTTTGTGTGATCTCTGTTGACCGCTACATTGGAGTAAGTTACCCTCTGCGCTACCCAACCATAATGACGAAGCACAGGGCGCTACTGGCAGTGATGCTGCTGTGGGTGCTGTCCATCATCATATCTGTCGGACCTTTGTTTGGCTGGAAAGAGCCAGAACCTGAGGACGAGTCCATCTGCAAGATCAATCAGGAGCCGGCCTACGCTATCTTCTCTGCTTTGGGCTCCTTCTACCTCCCTCTGGCCATCATACTGGCCATGTACTGTCAGGTTTATGTGGTAGCTCACAGGGAGAGCCGGGACCTGAGAGAGGGCTACAAGACGGAGAAGTCAGACTCTGAGCGGGTGATACTCCGGATACACAGAGGCAACACAACTGTACCAGAGGACGAGGGCCTCCACAGCCGCACACATTTCGCCCTTCGCCTGCTCAAGTTCTCACGTGAGAAGAAGGCCGCCAAGACCCTGGGCATTGTGGTTGGCTGCTTCGTGTTGTGCTGGTTGCCCTTCTTCCTGGCGCTACCCATTGGTGAGTTGTGTTCATCTTGTATACATTCTTAGGTCTGTACAGTAAAAATGATGTTACAGCCTGTGGCGTGTTATCATAGCTTAGGTTAGCATAAACTGAAAAAAGCGGGAAACCGATCAGCTAAATGCTAAAAGACATCTGCCTTCCACCACATTTAAAGATCACAAATGAACACAGTATTTGTTTACATTTTCAAAGGGTCAAAATCACATTTTAGTTTTAACTTAAATTTGGACAGTCAAGCTCTTTGTTTTCAAAAGAAAGTTTTTAAAGAGTCTGTATGGTAGCTGTTTCCTGGTTCCAAATTCATATTTAGTGTACAGAAACGAGATTCTTATCCAACTCCGGTAACATTGTGTGTTTTTTCTGACAATTCCACCATTCATTTACATTAAAGATGCACAGCGCAGTTGATTTAGCTTTTGTTTTAGAAAATGTTTTGGACTCAAGAGTGGAATTATTGGATCTAGTGTCAAAAGGGGGAGATAGGATACAATTGCCTGAAACCTCCCTGCCTTCCCAATTGATTCAACTTTTTAATTAATATGATTTTGCAAATTAAAAACGGTTTCATATTTGATCACCTGCACTCCCACATATGAGTCAGACACTTCTAGATAGCTATTTAACTTCTGCATTAATTTATTTCAAAGATCCATTCATCGATTCATGCTGCTGCCAGGTTTTCAGTAGTGGAGCATTTGATAGTTTGTTAATTGAATTTCTCATCTGTGGGCGGACACTGTGCAATCATTCAGACGAGCCTTGTGGCCTTTCGTCGTAAATGCTTTGACTTGGCCAGGTAGACTTTCTATAAATAGGCTAGATAAAAATGTTAGATCCCTGGCTGACTCCAGGTGACACTACTCCGGTCTGCAAAAAAAAATCACAGCATCTAAGGCCAGCAAATATTTCAAACACGAATTGTTCAATGAAATGTGAAGCCATTTCTCTGATCCTTCCTCTCTCCATTGTGTCTGTGACTCACAATCCTCTCAATGCCATGGCAGGGCTGACAGATAAAAAACATCACATTGGTGTCACACCTTATTTGATGTCCCCCTCAATGCTCTTCCTCAAGTGTGCTTGAGGGGAATTCACACAGCTTGCCAGTCTTGCATGGACTATAAGGGCTGGTGTCAATGGGGGGACCAATATGTGATATGACAAAACCCACATAAATCACTCTGGGCTTTTTTAAAATGTATTCCATACTCTCATGCTCGTAAATATAGCCGAGATCGCTTTTTTTGTTGTTTCCTGTCTGGGAAAGGAGGAAAAGCCTCAGTTTACCAATATTCTCTTACTAAAGCTAGCGGCAGACTGCATACTGCTGCCAAATAAGTCTCTGGGCATCAGAGGTCGCGTTAACCAAATATTTTCCGTCTATGACGGATTTTTTTTTTAACAAATCTGAAAGCAGTCCGTCATTTTGACAGATTAGAACAAACTCGGAACAGCGCCAAAGTTTCCCCGCAGCGAGGCTCCGGTGGTATGCCGTGTTATGCATGCCCTCCAAAAAGGAAATCATACCGTTTCCAAACCTAACTGTGCCGTACAAATCATTGAAATGTCTGTGAGTTTTGGCTTTACGCTGTGCACGATCCCGCGAGGTGTAGCAGCCATGCATAACACGGTGCATGTGAACTCTGTCCCCCCCCTGTTGACAGTTCACGAGCATGCTTCCCCCTTCCCCCTCGTCAGAGTTGTGTAAAGGCTGATGGGTAATTCTAGATTTTGACAGAAGTTTTACGATCCTGTCCGTCACGGGCAGTGAAAAAGTCTAGCGCAACATCTGCTGGACATAGAGAGATTTATCATGAACCAACAAGCAATGGTCTGGTTTTGACATGTTTAGCTGATTAAGACATGATTGATTGATGTTGTATACTGGAGTTAACATTATTTTGAGAATAAAAAAACATTGAGGAATTTGATTATGTAAAAAAGTCGGCTGTCGGCTGTGCGTGGTGATGACAAGCTGGTTCGAGGGGCCCCCAGTGAATGTTTGCCAAGGGCCCCCACATACTCTAGGTATAGGATCGCCACTGGGAAGGACATCTCTAAGCAGTTGACCAATCAAAACAGAGCCTGTCAGTTTACCAATCAGATCAGACTGGGCTCTGGTTTAAGACAGAGGCTGAAAAGAGGTGCTGCAGGACAGGCAGTATGAGAAATGAAGACCTTTCTGTCATGTAAAATGTTACAGAAGAGGCGCAAAATTCAAAAATTAATCTGAAAATGAGCATAAAATGGCCCCTTTAAAGAATTGAAAAAGATAATTTATTTTGCCTCTGTGTTTCTTTGTGGATTGTCTTCTTATCCCCTTCTCAGGGACTACATATAAAGGACTGTTTACATTCCCTTTGGTTTGAAAGTTTTATCCCTTGTATTTTGGTGTCCTTTTTTACTGTAGTTGATTACAGCTAAATCTCAAAATGCTGCTTGAAAGTATCTTTAGGACTGAGTTAATTGAGTTCCGTTTTGTAAAAAGGCTAAATATGGATAAAAATAACCTTGAGAGAGAATCAGCAGTCAACAGTTTTATTTTTAATTGCACACAATACATTTGACAAATATGACAACTTGAAATAACACAGTTTTCACATGAAAACAGCCAGTGATTTCTTATTGATTTTGCACAACAATACATTTATCGACAGCAGCAATACCTTTCTTCTTTTTCTATGGTGTGTAATAATAGAATTGTTCTTTTGACACAGCTGGGAATAAAATATATGAGCGGTACAGCCGGCACAAAAATAATTTGCTCTCAAATTCTCCCCACCTCTTCTTTCCCTCTCCATATCACAATCTCATTTTTCAACAGCCCACATATACAGTAACCATCTGCAACAGTCTGTCCAATATAACATTTCACAAGACACCTTCTCCCCTTCTACCTCTAAATATAGATAGATAGTAGGGGTGTAACGGTACACGTACCCGTACCGAAATTATTCGGTACGGGCCCTTCGGTTCGGTACAGGTGTGTACCGAAGTGTACCGAACGAATATAACGTTGAACGTAAAAAATTGAGAACGTGAACAACTTCTGGAAGTATCTCAGTGCTGCGTCGCAGCATTCAGAGTAATTTTGCTCACATTGGGTTCAACGCGTCATAGAGCAGAGCAGTCATTTCATTGGATGAGAGGCATACTATAAGAGCTGGTCAGAGGGATGCGTTCAATGTAGTCAGTAATTTTGAGGAACTGTCGAAAATTATGGCGAACGCAGATAAAGTTGAGCTCGAAAATCCTCCAGCATCATTGAAGTCCTCCCGGTTTGGGGAACATTTTCGTTTTGCAGTTACGTACAAGGGAGACGGACAAAGACAGGTGGACCGAACCAAAGCTGTTTGTCGGCATTGTTCAACTAAAATTGGTTACGCGGCTGGCAATACATCAAACTTGCACACTCTTGAAAAAGGCATCACCCGAACGTGAATATCACCGGTACCAAAAGAAAAAAAGCCTGAAGTGCAAACCCACTCCCGCTAGCATTTAAGCCTCCAACACTCGCAGAGAGTTCAGACCGAGCCAAAGCTATTACAAACACCAAATATCCTTATGTTGCCATGTTAGCAAAGCGCTACCTGGCTGTATCTGCTACCTCTGTCCCTAGAGAGAGGGTGTTCTCCACAGCAGGAGACATTGTTAGTGCCATCAGATCTGCCCTTTCAGCAAGCAATGTGGACAAGTTCATTTTTCTTAAACAACAAAATACAATGAACAAGCAAGTCCTAATGTCAAAACTGGCTGCTTAGGGTTCTAGTACAGTAGGCTACAGTTCAAATACAGATTATTTCAGTTCATCGAAATGCTGCACCTTAATGTTCATTTATTATATTTTGTATTTATTTGAGTGAATATTCACAGTTTAATAATAATTAAAAAACCCAAAAACTAATAGTTTATGTTTTGTGAGTACTAGTACAGTAAAGTTCAAATACAGATTATTTCAGTTCATCGAAATGCTGGGCACCTTAATGTTTATTTTATTATATGTTGTAATTTATTTGAGTGAATACATTATTCACAGTTTAAATAATAATAAATATATATATATATGTTTTTGTTTTGTGAAAAAAATTATGCTGTACCGAAAACGACCGAACCGAACCGTGACCAAAAAAACCGAGGTACGTACTGAACCGAAATGTTTGTGAACCGTTACACAAAAACCCCTAATAGATAGATAAATAGATAGATAGGATGTAAACCAGAGGAATGATATGTTTCTCTCCGTAGCTGCAGATTTTACTGTAATTTTATAATATATTCGATGAAACAGATACTAGAGAAAATGAAAATTAGCCATAGCAGCAAGATTTGATATTGGTTTTTCTCTTATTCAATGCAATAGATTGACATATTTTGTCTGTGTTTTCTGTATAAACATTCATATTCCCCCATAAGGTTAATTCTTATCACTGACCTTTCCTTTCAGGCCATCCTAAGGTTGACATTTTGTGGTGTCTAGACAGTTGTGTTAAGTTAATTTATTTAGTTCAGTCCTTTTGTCTTTTGCCTTGTCTTGTGATTTCCTGTTTTATTTTGTAGTAACCTTTCCCTCTCGTTTCAGAGCATTCCTGCCCTGGTGTGTTTTTCCCACCAGTGTGATTGTCAGCCCCTCCCTTAATTGTTGCCACCTGTGTCCCCTTACCTAGTGTGTATATATAGTCTGCGTCTCCCTTTGTCTTGTGTCAGTTCGTCTTGTCTCGTCAAGCCTGCCAGTCATCCCTTGATCGTGTGAAGTATATTTTTGATAGTCATGTAGATGTTTTTTGGTTTAGAGTTTTTGATCCTCCAAGTGAGCGTTTTGTATTTGACCTTAATTAAAAGACCTTGTTAATTCTAATCTGTTTCTGGTGTTGTGCATTTGGGTCCTGAGCCTCGTGACATTCTTAACAGTACGAACTGACCAAAGAATGGACCCAGCCGACCCAGACAGGTTCAGAGCAGCTCTGCGCTCACAAGGCACGCTTTTGTCTCAGCAT